GGGGCTGGGGAGGAGGCTTGCGGGAACGTAGCCTCTGCCGACGTGTCGGAAACGCGGACACCGCTGTTTTGATTCCTGGGGATTTTCTAATTAATCTCGGGCCATAATTAGGCCTGCTGGCTGATAGCCTGGCGCCATCCTGGAACGCCAGGCCCGGGCAGTTAAGACCTGCAGTGGGCAGTGAAATTAAAGCCCTCCCCCTAGTCCCTCACTCACTTTTATGTGCTATTAATGTGACACGGTTCTGGCACCAGCGTGTGGTCATTTATATTTGACTCCTTTGCTTTAATTATCCTAATTCATTGCCTGCGACTTTACGCTTAAGGTTCGGCGTCTGGGACGAGGTGGTGAACAAGCCCCCTTATTTGTTTGGGGGTTCAATGATTAGAGAAGCATTCTTTTTTGAACCAAAGTCATATTTTGTTGGTGATCAGGCTGTTTCCATGACAACCATGGAATTCATCCATTCATGCATCTTCCAGAAACGTTTATCCAGTACAGGGTCCAGTGAGCCCAGAGCCTATGCCAGGAAGCACAGGGCACAAGGCAATGGGATGGCATGGGATTCAGCTCCAGTGATACGGGGTTTTCCAGTGAACTCCAGGTCACTGTCCCAGTTTGCACTGACGTCGGGTGGGGTCACGTGGCCTTGACACCCCCCAAGCCCCAAGATCTCCAACTTGGAGGCACTTGAAGAGCACTTTGCTGTCATGCCCAGAGCATTCTTAACAAGTCCCTTTGAAAATTATTTATAAAAATTAACTTCTCTTGAGGAGGGCCTCAATGAAAGGAAGAATTACATGAAAGATAAAACACTTTATCGTCAATGAAAAGCCGGACAATGCAGAGTGGAGAACTGGGGGAGACGAGAGAAACAATGAATATTAAGTGCTTTGGAATCCAAAGCCGTCCTGCTGGCTAAATTGAAACTGTATATCCTGAGGGGAAATGGTTTCCAAATTGCTAATTATTGCCTCTGAAAGGGGGCCGTTTCTGATATGTTTTCTTCTGAAAGGCTAGTGCTTAATGAAGCAGTGGCTGCATCCCCCCCCCCCAGCCAGCGCCCAGATCTCTCGGTGGACTCCTTCCGCAGGCCTCAAACAATGAGGGCCCTGGAGTCATCCTCTCCCACAGGTCCCGGCAAGAGGGGGCCGGCGTCGGGGTACTGAGGGAGCCCGGCCTCCTGCCGAAATGTGGAGGGGACAGATAAGGTGGTGGAGGCACAGAGAGCCCCCCTCCCAAGGGCCGAAGGGGAAATTTGCAGTTATTAAGAGGAAGATGAGAGAGATTAAACAGCTTTTGTGCTCATTTCACTGAGCCGTTTTTTATTTTTTATTTGGTCCAGCTTCATCTCTGAGATGAAAGAAGTTATAAATGACTTTTCTCTCAATTCTGCCCCGCCGGCTTAACGGCTTCAAACTCCTATTATTTGTATGTACTGTTAAATACAGAGTGTTAAGCACCGGCGATGTTCAGTGTATTGCATTAAGCTGTAAACATACGTCCATGGATATATAAGTTTGTGCAAGTACACACAAATGACAGGGAGCTGATTAGGCTATTACTTTCCATGGCCATTATCTATAGGTTGTGCATTTTCACAAAACTGAAAAAAACAACACTTTGTACACTCGATTTGTCAAAAGAAAAATTGTGCCAGAGAGGCAAATATTATTACATTCCAAATATACGTAAAACTTTAATTTAAAAAGCTGCATATGACAAATAACCAAAATAATTATCTTAATCGTCTGCAATTTACAAATATACAAAATAACAGACGTAATGGGCTTCACTATGCTGACGCGGTAATAAGAGAGTATTATTCTGTTAATTAAGGTTTCATTACAGAAAAAAGTACTTTCGTATAAATGAAAGCAACCGCGTCCGTTTCTCCGCGAGCTAAAAGCCCATCAGAAAGAGAGACGGAAATCAGCATGCCCGTTTCACTGCAGGGCGGAAGTTGACGTGCCCGCTTCACTGCAGGGCGGAAGTTGACGTGCCGGCTTCATTGAGGGGCGGAAGTGCGTAGCGCGTTTCAGCTGCAAAAACAAAACAAGCAGGAACTGCGGCTGGTGAGTTTTGAAATAACAGTACCACGCCACCGTATATCAACATATTGGCCATAACGGACGTAGGAAGCATAATCGAAGTAAAATTACATATCTGAAATGCACGACGTGTTTCGCTATCGATAACAGTCTCGGTTGTTCTTATTAAAGTTAGCTGGAGAGCTGGCATGATACATCATGTCATCTGGGTTCTCAGAAAACCTGGAATTGAACATTAGATTTTTTGTAAAAGTAGGATAGATTTGCAAAGTGACAGCGACGCTGGTCTGCAGTGACAGTTGCGTTCCGTGGAGCTTAAACGACGAGCCTTGCCTGAAACCGGTTATACTGCAAGAGAGAATTTTCCTGTCGTTGTTTCCCCGTCATTTGCCAGACTACCCAATCTAATCGCTAGAACGTTAACTTTCAGTGTGGGCGAAACACCTCGCTCCGGCAGGCATCTCCCCTCATAGAAATTTGATTGTAGGTGCAAACGTTTCGGGACTACAGACAAATCCATGTCACATCAACTATGCGGCTGACAAGCTCCATTACCGTCATTTTTTCGCACGTGAACAATTTTTACATCAGGGGCTTTATTCCACAACAAGCAAAAAGCTCAAATCCTTTCAGATTTTAACGTGAAAGCCAAGATGTGAGGTGTGAATCATAGACCCATGTTTGTCTGGGCAGCAGATTTTTTTTATTGTTTTACGCTCCTTTTGCATTTACGCCACATTCTGACGCTCGGAGCGAAATCTGCAGACTTCTTTGGAATATTTAAAACATTATATAAATTATGCATATTTTTTGTATGAGTTACAGCATTATTGCTTAGTTATTTCTTACCAACTCTAAGAAATACATAACTGTGAAGCACTTCTCAAACAGACTGGTTTCCACACACTAGTGTGGGCTGGGGACCCCGACCCTAACGGCCCTGCCATCTATCGCCCCCTGCAGGTGGTCTGTGGTACAATGGATGAGCTGGTGCATGACCTGGCCTCTGCGCTGGAACAGACGTCGGAGCAGGCCAAGCTGGAGGAGCTATGGGAGGAGATGGTGCTGAGCCCTCTGCAGCAGCGGAGGCAGGTCCGGCGGCGTCGGGGCCGCAAGCGGCGCTGCGACACCTCCCTTCACCCGACAGAGCATGGCCGCTGCCTGAGTGAGGCATCCGAGTCCAGCCTCGATGAGGCGGCCAAGGACTGTCGTGAGAACACCGTCGCCATCGGCAACCCCAGTGACTCGGACGACATAGCGGCGGCGGCGGCCAAGCGCCGGCCATCCTCCTCCTCCTCCGCTGCAGCTGCTGCCTCCCTCCGGGCCCGGCAGCACTCCTGGGCTGAGTCCGACTCCTTCACAGAGAACACGCCCGGCCGGCCCCTACGGCGCCGCCGTAAGGTCAAGCGCATGACATCAGATGTGACAGTCAGCCTGCAGCAGAAACTCAAGGTGTCAGAGCTGGACGGTGAGCGGCTGGGTGGCCACAAGTCAGCCAAGAAGCAGAGGCTGTCCAAGCTGAGGAAGGGCCCCTGGAGGGCTGGGGGCCGCGAGCCAGTTGGGGGCGGGGCCAGACTCATCGCCGAGGAATGCTGGAAGGACAAGATCATGTTCGAGGCCAAGGAGCAGAGGGAGGCCTCGGATGAAAACATGTCTGAGTGGTAATGTTGTGATTTTACTCCCTTAAATATGATGCTGACGTTAAATCATCCACCAGGGTATCGCTGCTGGATCACATGCTTCCTGTTTGCTTTAGTGACGTGGGAAACTTAATTAAGGAATCAGCTGAAATCTTTTACGATAAACAGATTTGGCCTGCAGGTGGTGTAGTGGTAAAGGACCGATACTTGTGAAAGATCAGACAATGAACCTTTAATTAATTTGCTCAGTAGTTTCCCTAACAGTATCTAGGTCCTGTGTAAAATTGTAACTTGCGCAAATCCCTTTGCTTAGCAGCTAAGTGAACAAACATTCGTTTGGCTTCACATCATAGTTCCTAGCTTGTTTAATGGGATGTCAGAAAGGCCAATTACATGTTCTGCAGGATTCGGACATTTGCATCCATGCTTAATATTTCGGTGTAAGTTTAAAATAAATCAAGCTTAGAATGTGACACCCAGCCCCCCCGATCACAGTTTTAAGCAGGATCACACACCTTTAGTGTGTCGCGAAGTCGCCATGCGTCTCATTAGATGTGACAGTGGCGGGTTTGTCACTGCCACCCTGAGGCACTGTCCGGCTCATTACTTTATACCCGGCGACACTGTGGTGCGTAATCAGATTTTTGGGTTTATCGATCGGTCTGGAATGAAGTGGGATGCCGAGGAGGGTGGTGGGCCTTTCGGGCTTTCTGTGCACGACCCTCCCCCGCTCCCCCATCAGCTGTGAGGCCACGGCCTCAGCCCCCGCCTCCAGCTCTCACTGCTTTTGGGAGATCCTGCAGTAGCCATACCCGCGGTTACAGCTATTGGTCAGCCTTAGCGCATGTGCATTTACTGCATGTGATTCAGACAGTGAGCAGCAGCATGCAGCTGCAGGCCAGCCGGACGACACTTATCGGGTATCACTAGCTTTATTGAAGGTCATTAAAGCTGCATGTCACTCTCTCTGTTTAGGACAGTGTTTCCCAATCCAGTCTTCAGGGACCCACAGTGGGTCCATGTTTTTGCTCCCTCTCAGCTCCTCGCCAGACAGTCCACATTTTTGCTCCCTCGCAGCTCCCTACCCAAGGACCGGATTGGGAAACACTGATTTAGAGTTATTAGGGTAAGACTCCATGTCACTTTAAGGGTTGTTAAGCCTGTGTATCACTTCCTCGGTTTTGGGTAATAAAGGCTACTTGTCATTTAGTAACCCTGCTAAAAGGCTAAGTATAATTCTTAACGAATTGTTTTCCTTATTAAGGAGGAGGAGTCAGTAAGAGTCGCGTTGCTCCTAATGTCAGGGCTTGGCTGTGCGGTGCGTGTGAGCGTGAGCGTGATCGTCATACATGCCAGATAGCGCTGTGCGGACCGGTGGCGTGGTTGGGGTTTCCCCACGTTTGGGGCGTTTCCTTTGAATTGTGGGGATTGATGCACTGAAGTCCTTCCAGGAAGCGTCAGCAGGAGCTCAAGTCTGCCCCCCCCCCCCACCCATCGCTCACCCATAGATTGTTTTCCTTGATGATCTTATTATCTGTCAGCCCATTTAGGGGCGTTTGGCAATGGAGGGGGGGCGGGGGGGCACGTGAGGTAACCAGTGATAAAGAGATGGAGCTGTACATCTTCTCGTTTAATTTGTGTTGACCTCTCTGCCACGTGTTTTCTTTTTTTATGGAGAAATCAATACCCTCCCTGACAGGTAGCAGCTCCCCAGCAGCAGTAAATGGGGGCGGCGTCCCCAGCTGCCAATCATTTCACACTTACCCCGCGAGATGCTCTGAAGTGGCGCGGGGCGCGTGCCGCAGGGAGAGAGCGGCCCAGCTCCCAGCCTTAGCCCCTGCCCATTTTGTGGTTGACGCTCTGAAATGCCGTCAAGGTCCTCCAAGGTCACGGATGGTGCTTGAGCCCCTCCCCCCCCCCCACCCCGTGCCGAGCCC